ATACTAAAATTCTTCAATTAACAAAATTATTTCTATACAATAATCGATTTTATTATGATGGTAAGATATATCGATTGAATAAAGGTGGTCCAACAACTTCACGTTTTACTGAAACGTTAGCCAATATTTATCTACTTGGAATGGAAAACAATTGTCTCATCAATCATCGTTCCATGCAAAATGAATTCTATGGTCGATATCAAAATCAAATCTTTTTTACATGGAATCAATCTTTAAATGAACTTGAAGAAATTCTTCATCAAATGAAATTACAATATAATCACTTAGATTTTCATATTTCTATTGAAAAACAATTGACTTTTCTTGATATTTATTTAGAAAATCGTCATGGCTTCCTTTATAGTCGTGTTCATCATGAACAAAATCGACAACGTTACACATTACCATATACATCAAATGAAAATTCCATCAGGATACATAGTCATTGGTTACGATCAAGTCTTATACGTGCTGTTCGTTATTGTACAGCAGTGGAAGATTTTCATTATGAACGAATCTATCTTGAAATGAGCTATTTAGCCAATGGTTATTCGTATGAATTCATTAAAAAACATCTTCAACATTTTTTTCTACAATTTGGTGCTAAAGAATTTCAACAATTCGTTTTGGATCAAGGTCTTTATGAAAAATTTCGTCATCGTTTATTTAATTTTATGAGTGAACAACGACAACATATACAGAAAAAACAAGAATCATTCAAGAAGAATCGACGTTTTCATTTATCGTATATTTATGATAATATAAGTTCGAAAAGTAAATTCAATAAACAATTACGTGAAATTCTATCAGATAGTATTAAAATCAAAAATACAACATTCGAGAACAGCAAATTACAACTTGACATTACAACAAAACATCAATATTCATTAAATGCACTTCTTAGTCATCAACGACCGTCACATCCAATATTAAATAAAATGATCTAAACATTTCAATATAAACAAACTTATTATTAGCATCATTTTTAATCATTTTCATCATTGTAGTGTTGGATTTAGTTCTCATAAAAAAAAATAACTATTGTAGCGTTCGATTCAATTCTGTTTTTTTTTTTTGTTGTTGTTGTTGTTGTCTATTCTAGATGAAGAACAACAAGTTCTATCATGTTGATGATCGTTACAATAGCAATAGTACACCAACCATCAAGACAAATGGTCAGTCACCAGTGAAATCTTATCGTGAGCAAATTCAAGGAATGTTAGCACGATGGCATCAATTACAAAAAGAAAAACAACAACAACAACAACAACAA